GGCCGGGAGAGATGCAAACAGCCAGCTGAGTTCCAGGCACTGCTCACCAGGTAGCACGGCTAGGACACCAATGCACCCGGATGGAAGCAGGGCCGGGTGTCAGGAGGCGGGACCGCGGCCAGGTCATGGGGAGACACTTGTTCTACGGGCTTTGGGAGCCACCGCAGGGCTCTACACAGAACGGGGGCAGGCTCGGATGTGCACTTTGATAAGACTCGCCCTGTGCTATGGCCTAAATGTCTGTGTCCTGCGAAAATTCACAGATTGGAACCCAGTTCCTTCCCGGCGAGATAGCAGCTGAGGTGGGGCCTTTGGGAGGTCATGAGGTCATGAGGGTGGAACCTCAGCAAGAGATCAGTGCCCTTTTAGGAGGAGGTAAGAGGGAGCCCACAGCAAGAAGGCGGCATCCCTACCCCAGGAAAAGCGTCCTCCCCGGACACTGACCCTGCTGCCCTCGATCTCAGAATGCCCAGCCTCCAGGACTGTGAGGAATACAGTCGGCTGTTCAAGCCACCCAGCCCCCAGGAACTTCTTACGGTGGCCGGACCTGACGAAGGCACCTGTGTAGGGCACCCTGGGGACAGACAGCCGCTGAATGTGGAAACGCTAGATGGGAGATGGTAGCAACAGTCAAGGCCAAGGGTGATTTTCTTACGGAAATGAGGCTGCTCTGCGCCTGGAGGGCCTTTGTCAAGGAACGATCATTCCATCCTTCCTCCAAGGTTCCCCGGCGGCTGCCAGTCTCTGTCCTCGCCCACCTCCCCACCTGCCCCAGCTTCGGCCAGCCCAGCTCACCCATGAACACCTTACGTGGTTTTACTGTAACCAGAAGTCTCAATGCCTTTAAAAAATAGCCACAGATGTAAGTGGCTCTGTCTTGGTATCGTCACTCAGTCCGTCGCTACTCAGGGAAGGTTCTAGAAACATGCGCTTGCTGTGAGAACCGCTTAAACAGATTCTGGGCATCTGTTCTCAGCCAATCCTGCCAGCTGTTCACTCCCAGTGACTTCAGCAGAAAGCTGGGCAGGGAAAACATGTGCACAATTTTAAACAAAACATTTTAACAGCTAGTCTGGTAAATATAATATAATCAGGGAAGCAGAAATGGGTTTTGAAAATACAGTCTGAAAACATACATGAACTACTTACTGCCAACAGGGACAAAAAGTCTGGCACTGAAAACTCAAGACTCGTCTCGCAAAGCCAGCAGTCCTGGAGGCCCTGCTGGAGGAGTGAGCACATCGCCGGCCCGAGGCCGACCTCAGGAGGCACTTGCTCTATATTGCCCCATGCGGTCCTCACAGCCACCCTGTGATGGGGTTTTCCTTTCGTTAACCGTGATAACTGCTTTCTAAAGACCATCTCCAGGCGCAGTCACACTGGGGGTTAGGGCTTCCAGCCGGCATGGGGGGGACACCTTTCAGTGCACGGCAGCCTCACCGTCTGCAGGAGGCAGAGCTGGGATTAGAAGCGTGGAGACCAGACCTCAGAGCTGGGGGGAGGGGGCTGAACCGCCCCTGGGCCCCCAGGGCTCCCCCTGCCACACTCCCGCACCGGGGTCTGACTCTTCCATTCCCTTTCCCCTTCACCCTGGTTGCCGTAAGCCCAACAGTACAAACCAGCTTTGCTTCAGGGCAGGAGGAAATATTGCTCTTGACAACTCAACCCGGACCATCACCCTCACTCATATTCCAGAGGCAAAACCGGCAGGAAAACAAGCCCGGCCCGGCCTCCGCCTGGGCCAGCCACGGAGATGTCAGCAAAAACGGGGACTGGGGGGGCTGAGTCAGGATTTCCCGGGCGCCGTAACTCACCCTCCACGCTCCACGCGCCATGCCCCACGCAGGGCGATAAAGAGCCGGCATATAATTCATAAACGGCAGCAGCGCCTTTAGAACCCGCCACGCGATTCCTCACCCCGCTCCCCTCCCGCGGCC